CGTCAGTCGTCGTCGCCGTCGTCGCCGCCGCCACTCTCTCTCTCGCGCGCGCCGTTTCCTGTGGACCTTTTGAATACTTTTCGGGAGGCCTCCTTGGCCTTCTTGGGGACCTCTGGGGACTCTTTGAGGGAGGCTTTGGTCGTCTTAGAGCGTTCCTGGCCCATCTGACGCCGTCCGAGACCGTCTTTGGGGCCTCTCGGAGCCGACTTCAGGCCCTCATGGGCCGTGTCAGGGCGGCCTTCGAGGCAGCCTAGGCGTCTTGGGGGCCTCTTGGGTCGTCTTGGGGCCTTCTTTGGACGAATTGGAGGCATCTTGGACTCTCTCGGGCCGTCTTGGAGGCCATCTTGGACCATCTTGGGCGGACTTGGAGGCCATCTTGGAGGCCATCTGGAGCCGTCTTGGGGGATTTTTCTGGGATTGAGCTCCTGGAGCTCCCTTTCGGGTGGCCGGCGGGAAGGGCCGAAGCGCCAGGGGGAGTTCTTCTGGGAAAAGAGCCCCAACAAAAAGCGGAAGGTCCGAAGCAATTTTGGCGGCTCAAGGTTCCGAGGGGCCGTCGCCGGCCTCCCAGGGCTCCCCTCGGGCGTCTCTCGTTCCTCTCAGCTTTTCGCATCTGCAGACGGCATGATGCGCTTTCGCACGTCTCACAGCGTCGGCGCGCTGCTCCTGCTGCTGGTAGCGCGCGGCGCCCCGAGCGCCGGGTCGCCGGCGAGCGGGACGCTGGCCCGCCCGAGGCTGGAGGGCTCGGCGAGCGGTCGCCCTCGCGAGCCGCAGGCCCAGTTCGGGAGGCGCCAGGCTATAAGCGGCGAGCAGTTGCTCAAGCTCTTGGCGAGTGATGGGGCCGCGGGCGACGTATTCGGTAAATCGGTGGCCGTGAGCTCCGACGGGGCCCGCGTGGTGGTGGGGGCCTACGGTGACGACGACCAGGTCAGCAATTCCGGCTCCGCGTACGTGCTCGACGGGGCCACCGGCGAGAGGCTGCTCAAGCTTGTGGCGAGTGATGGGGCCGCAGGCGACTTTTTCGGAATCTCGGTGGCCGTGAGCTCCGACGGGGCCCGCGTGGTGGTGGGGGCCTACGGTGACGACGACCAGGGCAGCAGTTCGGGCTCCGCGTACGTGCTCGACGGTACCACGGGCGAGAGGCTGCTCAAGCTTGTGGCGAGTGATGGGGCCGAAAACGACTATTTCGGAGTCTCGGTGGCCGTGAGCTCCGACGGGGCCCGCGTGGTGGTGGGGGCCTACGGTGACGACGACGTCGGCTCCCGTTCTGGCTCCGCGTACGTGCTCGACGGTACCACGGGCGAGAGGCTGCTCAAGCTTGTGGCGAGTGATGGGGCCGCATTCGACGGATTCGGAATCTCGGTGGCCGTGAGCTCCGACGGGGCCCGCGTGGTGGTGGGGGCCTACTATGACGACGACGGCGGCTCCGCGTACGTGCTCGACGGGGCCACCGGCGAGAGGCTGCTCAAGCTTGTGGCGAGTGATGGGGCCGCAGGCGACTTTTTCGGAATCTCGGTGGCCGTGAGCTCCGACGGGGCCCGCGTGGTGGTGGGGGCCTACGGTGACCAGGACCAGGGCAGCAATTCTGGCTCCGCGTACGTGCTCGACGGTACCACGGGCGAGAGGCTGCTCAAGCTTGTGGCGAGTGATGGGACCGCAGGCGACGGATTCGGAATCTCGGTGGCCGTGAGCTCCGACGGGGCCCGCGTGGTGGTGGGGGCCTACTATGACGACGACGGCGGCTCCGGTTCTGGCTCCGCGTACCTGCTCGACGGTGCCACCGGCGAGAGGCTGCTCAAGCTTGTGGCGAGTGATGGGGCCGGATACAGAAAATTTGGTAATTCGGTGGCCGTGAGCTCCGACGGGGCCCGCGTGGTGGTGGGGGCCTACTATGACGACGATCAGGGCAGTTCGTCTGGCTCCGCGTACGTGTTCGACGGCACCATCGTCACCACCGAGACGGCCACGAGTTCCGCGACGTCGAGCACTACTACCACCATCAAGACAACCACCGAGACAACAAGTGAGACGACCACCGCGACGACCACCAAGACGACCACCGAGACAACAAGTGCGACGACCACCGCGACGACCACCAAGACGACCACCAAGACGGCCACGACGACCACCGATATGGGCACGAGTTCGGACACGTCAAACACCACAGCCACCACCGAGCCATGGGGATTAATTGCAGTCTTCGCTGGTGTCTTGATCTTCTTCATTCACAACGCGGAGGTTGAGGTCAACTAGTCGGAGCAGGACGCGGAGATCGATGAGCACGAGTCGGCGCACCGTATAGCTCGACGCGGAGCCTGTATCATCAGGCTACTCTGCAGAGCGACACTACGCCAACTCACCTTTGGCGTCGAGACGCCACGTTTTTTCTCTTCATAGCATCAGTAACTGCCTAGTCTGGTCCGACACAGTAGTCTGGTCCGACACAGACGGCACAGTCCTTTTGTAAGGTTGCGGCTACATTCAGCACCAACCCTTTGGCGCTCGAGCGCCATGTTTTCCCACGCACCAGTGCCTAGATCGCCCCACAAAATTAGCCTGGCGAAGGACCCAACCATATGCAGTTGTGAGTAATGCTGGTGTGAGTACCGTCTTCGGTGGATCTCCCTATGGGGCCACGAACCGTTTGAGGGGTGTGCCGAAATGGGTGTGGGGGCGGCATGCGAACGTTGCCACTGGGGCCTTCGGTGGAGCTCCTTATGGGGCCACGAAACGTGTGAGGGGTGCACCGAAGTTGGTGTGGGGGCGGCATGCGAACGCAGCCACTGGGGCCTTCGGTGGAGCTCCCTGTGGGGCCACGAAACGTGTGAGGGGTGTGCCGAAATTGGTGTGGGGGCGGCATGCGAACGCAGCCACTGGGGCCTTCGGTGGAGCTCCCTATGGTGCCACGAAACGTGTGAGGGGTGTGCCGAAATGGGTGTGGGGGCGCATGCGAACCCAGTCACTGGGGCCTTCAGTGGAAATCCCCATGGGGCCACGAAACGTGTGAGGGATGTGCCGAAATGGGTGTTGGGGAGGCATACGAACCAGGCCACTGGGGCCTTCGGTGGAGCTCCCTATGGGGCCACGAAACGTGTGAGGGGTGTGCCGAAATGGGTGGTGGGGAGGCATGCGGACCCTGCCACTGGGGCCTTCGGTGGAGCTCCCTATGGGGCCACGAAACGTGTGAGGGGTGTGCCGAAATGGGTGGTGGGGAGGCATGCGGACCCTGCCACTGGGGCCTTCGGTGGAGCTCCCTATGGGGCCACGAAACGTGTGAGGGGTGTGCCGAAATGGGTGGTGGGGAGGCATGCGGACCCTGCCACTGGGGCCTTCGGTGGAGCTCCCTATGGGGCCACGAAACGTGTGAGGGGTGTGCCGAAATGGGTGTGGGGACGCATGCGGACGCAGCCACTGGGGCCTTCGGTGGAGCTCCCTATGGGGCCACGAAACGTGTGAGGGGTGTGCCGAAATGGGTGGTGGGGAGGCATGCGGACGCAGCCACTGGGGCCTTCGGTGGAGCTCCCTATGGGGCCACGAAGCGTGTGAGGGGTGTGCCGAAATGGGTGGTGGGGAGGCATGCGACCCTGCCACTGGGGCCTTCGGTGGAGCTCCCTGTGGGGCCACGAAACGTGTGAGGGGTGTGCCGAATCGGTGATGATTGATGATGCTGATGATGATGATGATATGATGATGATGATGATGATGGTTAATGATGATGATGACTGAGGATGAGTATGAGTGATTAGGATGATGATGAGGATGATGATGTGATTAGGATGAGGATGAGGATGAGGAGGAGGATGAATGCGATGAGATGAAGGAGAGGATATGTGAGGATGAGGATGAGGATGAGATGAGATGAGGATGAGGATGAGGATGAGGAAGGATGAGGATGAGGATGAGGATGAGGAATGAGATGAGGGTGAGGATGAGTATTGGATAGGATGAGGATTATGTGATTGAATGCAGTGTTAATGATGATGCATGATGATGATGATGATGATGATGATGATGATGATGATGATGATGATGATGATGATGATGATGATGATGATGATGATGATGATGATGATGATGATGATGGGAGGAGGGAGGGGGGGGAGGAGGAGGAGGTGAGGAACGCGGGGCGCCGTCTCTTCAAAACGAGGACCCAACACCACAGGATGGTTGGGAAAAATAGTCCCCAGACTCTTTTTGGATTATGTTTTGAGTACTTTTGGGGGTGTTCTATTTTTCGTCGAAAATCCCCCCTGTAGGGGGACAGGCCCGACTTAACCACAGGCGAGCGGCTGAAAGCGGCGCGGGCGCGGCTCCACGAAGCCTCGCTTCCTCCGCGTGGAGACGGAGTGGTGTTATGTCGGGCCTGTCCCCCATACAGGGGGATTTTCGACGAAAAATAAAAAAACTACCCCCAACAATAGTCAAAACATGTAGCAATAATAGTCTGGGGACTATTCTTTGCATATCTTTGGGCCTTTTTGGTGCATTTGTTTGGAGCATTTTTATTGTTTCGTCGAGAATCCCCCCTGTAGGGGGACACGCCCGACATAGCCATAGGGGAGCGGATTACAACCGCGCGGGCGCGGCTCCGCGGAGACGGAGTTGGTGGCCGCCCCGCACGTCCAGCCGCGGCCCGAAGCGGCCGACAGCGGAGCGACGCGGCGGGGCCCTTTGCCCCGGGGCCAACGTGCACGAGGAGGAAAACCTCCTCCTCCTCCGCCTCCTCCTCCTCCTCCGCCTCCTCCTCCTCCTCCTCCGCCTCCCCCTCCCCGTCACTAAAATATTCCCACTTTCTCCTCCTCCTCCTCCTTGTCCTCCGCCACCTCCTCCTCCTCCTCCTCCTCCTCCTCCTCCTTCCCCCCTCCAACTTATGGTGGTGGTGGCGGAAAACAGGCCCATCAAACGTGCAGGCGTGGGCGTCGGGAGCCTCGAGACGGGGGTCAATGCAAGCGGGGGTCAGCCACGGAGCCTGATCCTGCAGGATCTTGCGAAGATCGGGGGTGGACAGAACCCCCAACAGTGACACGTCGATTAGTGAATTGTCCGTTTTCGGTTTTCGAGAGGGCGCCGTGGCCGTTATCTTCCAGGCTTGCGCCCGCCAGGTTTGGGCCTCAGGTCGTTTTCACTAAACCACGTTTTGCTAAAGGGGGGTCTGTCCATCCCCGAGAAGACACCCTCTGGCTGACCCGGGTCTGCGAAGACCCGCGGTGCAGTTTTTTTTTTTCCTGCATTGCAGTTTTTGGTTTCCTGCTGACCCGGGTCTGGATTGACCCGGGTCAGAAGATCCCCGAGGGCGCGGGGCATTTGCCGGGGCTTCTGCCAGCCGCGGCGGACGCAGGTTGATGTCTGCAGGACGGCGATGCGTCGAGGGCGGAGTGCCCGTCGCAAGGGCGGCGCCCGCGCGAGGACGGTCAGGAGGGGAAAAACACACACAGACACAATTCATCGGCGATTCCCAGAAGGTATATGAAAAGATGTGAAAAGATGGGGGGGAAGACAAAAGCCCAGAAGATATAGGAAAATATGGGGGATATTGTTTGATTTGTGTGCATCTGTATGTGTGTGTCCCAGTTCCCCTTCAGGCTGAGGGCGGCCCCCTGGCAAGAAGAAGCCCTTTGGCACACAGCGCTGGCAGTGCGGCGAGCTTTCTCGAGGTCCGAAGATGCGGCCCGAACGCGGGCGGCCCTTGCCTCGCCGCTCCTCAAGCAATCGCCGCCCGCGGCGGCGCAGCCCAGGTTTCGCGGCGTGGGACGGCCCGAGGCGACCCGTCCTCCTCCTCCTCCTGCTCCTCTTCCTCCTCCTCCTCCTCCTCCTCCTCCTCCTCCTCCTCCTCCTCCTCCTCCTCATCCTCATCCTCTCCCATCTCCTCCCCCTCCTCCCCCTCCCCGTCCTCCGTAGCCATTTTGGCTCAAGATGCTTTGTTCCACAGGGGAACACGTGGATACCGCTAGTCCGCGGCCAGTGCCAGGGCGTCTCCGCCCGACAGCTTTCAATATACCTGTGAGCTCCTGGCGGAGCGACTCGACCCACTCCCAGACGGCAGCAGGCACTACGCGAGTGCGATGGGGCCGCCGTCAAAGAGATGGGCTTGGTCAATCTGCAAGAGCTGCAACAACTGGGCGTACGACTGGAATATCAAGCGCAACGGAGGCTACTGCGCCAAGTGCGACTCGTTCGTCACTCTCTGGGCGGACACAACCTCGGCGTCGCGCAAGCCACCATGGGGAGACCAACCTACCAAGGGCACCTACGCGGAAGTGGTGTGCAGGCAGCTGGCCCACGCCGTCTCCAAGCTTGGGCCCGACCAGAGCATGCAGGAGCAGCTGGAGCACCTGCAGACCACCATCTCCCAGAAGTGCGCCCCGCCCAAGAAGGAGTTACCCAAGTCTGCGGCACTCAAGCAGGCAATCGGCAAGGTCAACTCCGCCAAGGCTAAGCTCGAAGGCGTCACCAAGCGTCACCTGGACGCTGAGAAGGCGCTTGCCAAGCTCGCTGAGCAGGTGGCGCAGGCCGCGGCGGAGGTCTACGAGGCACAGCAGGAGCACTCGAAGGCGCTGGAAGAATACAACATGCACTCGGTGGCGGAGGGCACGGCGGCCAAGCCCGAGCAGTCGGGTTTTCAGGTGGACGAGAGCCTCTTCGCCGATGAGGAGGACCTGGAGCAGACTCAGAAGGACCAGCTTGCGACGTTCAGGGAGGACGCGAAGTCCTTGCAGGAGTTGTTGGATCGCGCCAAGACGCAGCAGGAGGCCCTGCTCACCATGGTCGAGAGCGCGAAGAAGATCAAGGCCGATCATGCGGCAAAGAAGCGCAGGATCAACGAGGACGGGCAAGCACACGCGCAAGTTCCACCACCCGCTCAAGACGCCAAGCCTGAGACACCACCACAGCAACAACAAGCCAGCGATCCAGAAACAGAAAAGCGGAAGGCAGAGGCGATCGCCAAGCTCATCGAGGAGAACAAGGAGCGAGCCAGGGCGGCATCTCAGAGGGCGACCACCACTCCACCATCGGTTGGTACGGCAGCTGCGGGCGGCGCTACGGGCTGTTCTTCTGGTCGGGCTGGTATTTAGCCCACCATGGCAGCCGCCTGCAGCGCTGGACAGGCCTCCAGCACCGCCGTCCCCCGAGTGGTCAGCCTTCCCTGGTCTCCCTGGGACTTCGCCCTCCAGTCTTGGGGATCGGTCCTCCTCGTCCGCGCCAGATGCGGACGCAGCTTGTCAAAACTGGCGTCGCAGCCAGCGTGAGAGAGTTCGCAATCAGACTTGTGAGACAGCCAAGCCAGCGAAGGTCACCAGTATATTCTTCAGCAATATCGCACAATGGGGCGAGAAACCTCAGAAGTTCCTCAACGAGAACCAGGAACTTGCTCAGATATTCGCCTTCACGGAGTCCCACGTGCCGCAGTCAGGCATCACGAAGCTGAAGAAAGACCTGAGCAAAGATGGATGGAAAGCAGCAGTCACGGCAGCTACCCCGACGCGACGCTCGAAGGAGGGCAACAGTGGAGGCGAGATGCTCATCGCCAAGGCGCACTTGGCGACCACAACGTTCGACGTGATGAGGGAGACCCTCAAGGCTCAAGGACGACAGGACCCATTCAGAGGGTTCACGGCCATGACTATCCACCTCAGCGGAGGCAATGTCGTTCTCTTCTCCCTCTACCTGCTTCCCAAGGGGGGCATGCAGGGCAGCAACTTTGAAAAGATCAAGGCGCTCTCGACGGTCATAGGGAGCATCACAGATCCTTGGATCATCATGGCAGATTGGAATATGCCCCCGTCCCTGGTCGAGAAGTCAGGCCTCCCCACGCGCCTGGGAGGCAAGGTGATCGTTCCGAAGATCCAGGTCACCTGCGACAAGGGCAAGGGCAGTCTCATAGATTTCGCCATGGCACGAGAAGATATGGCAGACGGCATCACCATCGACGGACACGCGAAAGTACCTTGGAGGACACACACGGGGCTCCTGCTCAAATTGCCAGGGCGCTCGGAGGCTTGGTGGCACAGGCATTGGGATCTCCCCAAGCCGCTGCCGCTGGTGCTCCCGCCGAAGAAGGCCCCCGACCCAGAGAGCAAGCGCAGCAAGGAGAAGGAGGCAGCGCAACAGAAGAGACTGGCAGAACTCCCCGAGGACTTGCGCGAGGAGTTCAACAGGCTCGAGCCCCCACAGACCAACATGGTGCAGCAGACGGTGCAGTGCGCGGTAGACGGGGGACAGTGGGGGCAGGCCAGTCGCATCGCCATCGGGCCAGCGTTGACCAAGCAGATGCACGAGATGGAGGCCAACCTTCTCATCCGAAGTAAGCATCAGAAGCTGATGGAGCAGGCGATCACAGGCGAGTATGCGGTCTGGGTCACCACTCTGGAGGAGGCGATCATCGGAGTAGACACGATGGACGCCGAGCAGGCTGATGCGCACCGAGGCAGAGGAGGTGGATTTGCAATCAGATGGCAAAGATCGAAAGCCACACCAGGTCGTACGCATATGAAGTATCAAGCAGCAGAGTTGTGGTCGATAATGGGAGCCTTGATTACCAGATATGCGTCACTACGGCTCAACGACACGGACAACGCGCAACAGAGGAAGTGCGAGAAGGAGTTGTCCACGACCTACCAGCAGCTCAGAAGGATGGGTTTGGATCAGATCTTCGGGAATTTTTTGATCATGATGAAGCTGATGAGCGTATGTTACGTGTGCAGGAGATCAAGACACACACGCTGGAAGAGCTTGAGAGGTTCAAGGATGAGATCGAAAAGCACTTGGCAATTGCGGTCTCCAGGGGCACCTCCACACAGCGGCAGCAGTTCACCAAGTGGGCAAAGAAGACGTGGTCGGAGAAGCCAGGCACCCTTCACAAGCACGTCAAAGATCCAGCGCAGCCGACCTACGAGCAGCACCACCATAACGCAAGCTCGGCGGACCCAGAGGTTCTCATGCACACGAATAGGGAGAGATGGCTAAGGATCTGGACGGACGCAGTGGACACCAGAGAGGACATCGCGTCAGAGCTGCAGGTCATGCACAGACAGGCCAGAGACGAAGACTTAGACCCGATCACAATAGAGGATTTTGACTCGGCCATGCAGGCCACGAACCCCAACAAAGCAGGCGGTGTGGACGGTCTCAAGTTGCACGACATTAAGAGGGCCCCGCAGGGTGCACGCCAGAAGCTGGTCGACCACATCAACATGTGCGAGCAGACGGGCACTTGGCCGAGGCAGTGAACGGCTACACTCGGGGCCGTGGTCCCCAAACCAGCAGGCGGAGAGAGAGTGCTGGGGGTGCTACCCCTACCAGTTAAACTTTGGAGCAGGACGCGGGCGTCACCTTGCAGCGAATGGAGTGAGGATCTGAGCGCGCACTGGGACACGGCCCTCAAAGGCAGCTCGGCGTTGCGGGCTGGACTGCTCCGCGCCTGTCTGGGCGAGGCGGGGTACGAGCTGGGCATTTCCAGCCTCGCCCTGCTGGAGGACATCGAGAAGTTCTACGACAGCGTCAGCCTGGTGCTGCTGATGCGCATCGCGAGGGGCATCGGCTATCCAGCAGTTGTAGTGGAAATGGAAGTACTCATCTTCGCGGCGGCACGGTTTCTCAAAGACAAGTCGTCGCTGAGTGAGGCGATATGGGTATCCAGATCGATAGTTGCGGGGTCGCCCAGAGGAGTCAGCCTCGCGAAGGTTTTTCTCCACCCAGTCCT